AATAAAACACGAAAATGAGCACTCCTTACACGCCAGCCCAGAATGGCGTCGCCGAAAGATTAAATCGCACTTTAGTTTCAATGGCGCGATGTTTGTTATTGCAATCCAATTTGCCTCAGAAATTCTGGGCCGAAGCCGTCAATACGGCTGCTTACATTCGAAATCGCTGCCCAACGCGAGGTTTAAAACACGAAATAAAAACACCTTACGAAGTGATGTTTGGCAGAGTACCTGCTGTCTCTCACTTCAGAACCTTTGGCCAAAAAGCATTTTCGCTAAATAAAAGGCCAGGAATAGGCAAATTTGATATTCGATCTAAAGAATGTATTTTTATTGGCTATTCTGATGAATCAAAAGCGTATAGACTTTGGGATCCCGAGGCATGTAAAGTGATAATAAGCAGAGACGTAAAATTTATTAATGAGTTTGAAAACTGCTGTAGTTATGACTCAGAGCAAAAAGAAATAAATCTGCCTTTCGCTCCGGAGGAAAAAATTATAAATAAAATATGTTGTGATGAATCATCCACCTCTGGACGGTCAGCGAGTCGCCACTTCACTCTGAAGCTGAAAAGGAAAGCGGAAGTGATTTAGATAACGAATCAATGCTTCCTATCCTGATTAAAAGGGGGCCTGGTCGACCCAAGAAAATAAAAACAGGTTTGCCAGGAAGGCCTAAAAAGGAATATCACTATACAGTTGTAAATAAAAATGAACAAACTCAAAATGCTGTTGAGGAAAGCATTAATCCTACGGTGCAAGAAGCATTAAATGGACCATATGCTGAAAATTGGCATAATGCCATGCTGTTAGAATATAACTCGCTTGTTCCAGAAAAGGCTTGGGAATTAGTAAAAAGACCTGAAAACAAGAAAGTTATTGGTAGTAAATGGGTTCTTAAATTAAAATATAATCATGACGGCAATATCGAAAAATACAAAGCTAGGCTAGTTGCTAAAAGGTGCGCTCAAATCCCTGGTCTCGATTTCACTGAAAACTTTTCCCCTGTTGCTAGATTAAGTTCCATAAGAACAGTTTTAGCCTACGCAGTAGAACACAATCTCAAAGGTTACCAATTAGATTTGTAATGGCCTATGTAAATGGAAATTTAGATGAAGAAATCTACATGGAAATTCCCGAAGGTTTTCGCGATGAAACTAATTCAGATAAAGTGTGTCTTTTAAAGAGATCATTATTACGGTCTTAAACAGTCAGGACGTCAGTGGTACAAAAAGTTGGATGAAAAATTGAAATCTATGAAATTTAAATCTCTTAATTCAGATAATTGTGTTTATATTAAAAAGACGTAAATAACGCAAATTATTGAAACTATTATAATCGTTTATGTGGACGATCTTATCGTTTTTTTACCGATTCTCACGCAAAACGTATGAAACAATTCGCGATAGTTTAGCTTCTGCTTTCAAAATGAAAGACTTGGGAAAATTACATTATTGCTTAGGAATAGAATTTTACCAAAATGAGAATTCAATTAAAATTTCTCAAAAGAAATACGTTGATGATATTTTAAATCGGTATAAAATGCAAAATGCTAAATCTGTGTCTTCACCTATAGATAACAGCAAAAAATTATCAAAAGAAATGAGTCCTAAAAGCGAAAATGAAAATCGCTGACATGAAAAATGTTCCATTTAGAAATCTGATTCGGATCATTAATGTACCTTTCAGTAGCTACTAGGCCAGATATCACATACGCCGTGAATTTCTTAAGTCAATTTAACAACAATCCTGGAAAAGAACATTGGCATGCTGCGAAAAGAATACTTCGATATCTAAAGGAAACCCAAGATCAAGGACTATATTTATACGAAAACAGGAAAACCACTCATCGCCTTTTTGTGGATGCAGACTGGGCATCAAATGTCGAATGATATCGAAAATTCTTACACCGGTTTTGTATATATATTAAGTGGTTCAGCTATAACCTGGGAATCACGAAAACAACGCAGTGTAGCTCTATCTTCAACGGAGGCGGAATATATGGCTCTGTCCGAGGCCGCCAAAGAAACTGTCTACCTACGTCGTTTCCTGAAGGAGCTGGGCTACAACATAGAACACCCAACAACAATATACTGCGACAATCAAGGAGCTCAGAAAATTACAAAGAACTCTGTGTTCCACTCCTGTACAAAGCACATAGACATTCGCCATCATTTTGTGCGTGAAGTGTATGAACGCGGTGAATTAGATGTGAAGTACATACCTACCAGTGAAATGGGAGCTGATGTGTTAAACCAAACCCCTGACTTCTGTTAAAACATCAAAATGTTGTACAATTGTAGGATTGAATACTGTTTAATATGTATTTTGTTTTATTTTTCAGGAATAGGAGAATCAACGTCGAAAGGGGGTATGTTGGCAACCGACGTCGATTCCCCTAGCGCATGCGCATGATAAGCAAGTTCTCTGCTGCGTAATACTTATACTTAGTAGGCAGTTAGCCAAAGTCAATGGTGAGTAATGCATGTAAGCGAGAAGGGCTAAGCGCTGTGTAATATCATGTTTCTACTCTGCTGTTCAACGTCTTCGTAGTTTAAATAAATGTTTGTTATGTACATAGAAGACGTCATTTTATTCTTCAAATATAATATTATGTAAACGATTATGATAAAATAAATGGTGAGCACATCAGCTGCAAATTAAGAAATATTAGATTTTAACCCAAAGTTTTATTGGGAACCTTTCTCCATTTCGAAGCAGAGAAAAGGACGGGACTTTTTCATTTTGCCACAAGCAGAACAAAAGTGCCAGAGTTTATTCGGTCATGTTATTATTTCTCGAAGTTCACAGCGTTTCGATCAAAGCATGTGTCAATAACCTAAAGCTTAAAATTTGCTAAAATTGATCAATGTTATGTTTATATGAACAATGTTTGTTATGCTAAATGTTATGTTTGATAGAACTGCATAGTGCAAAATTCAATAATATGTATTATATATGTATCGAAATTATCATTAGAAATAATGCAATAGTTGTTGTAATATCTACTTGCATTTAAGTAAAATCGCAAGGTATTTTCTTCCTCCTTTAATAGAGTAATTGCTTCTTACATGATGTGCCACTTCCAACTAGCAAATTGAAAAACAGGAGTTCGATTTCCGGCAAGGACACTGTACGTTGTTCATGTTTCCTGCTTCGAACAACTTAATAACTCTACTCTTTTGAATGCTAATTAAATAAAATTAATAAAATTATCTAGAATTAATAAAAATTATCTAAAATACAGATATCTAAGGCGTCAGTCTAAGACAAGTCTAAGAAATATGTAAATGACAAAAATCACATAACAAATAAAAGCTATTATCAAAACTTTAGAGTTGTGTCAAAATCGATAGGCACTGCACATCTTCTGTAAAAGTAAAAGCCTGTCTCTCTCCCTATATATATGTATGTAAAATATAAGAAAATACGATAGCTGCTTTAAAAATAATTGGCGACCTCAAAATTAACTAGTCTAGATTTGGTGCTCTCCCCTTAAATTCATATATTCTCCCAAATTCGATAGCTTTCTATGTTACGTAACAACCTCAAATTAATCAATCATAGCTTGTCTCTACAACTGCATCTACTATGGTATAAATACCACCTGCCGTTTAATTGCGTCATTCCTTTTCCTAGCTTCCGCCTTGCAAAAGTCTATGCTGCTATGCCACCTTTGTTCTTATTCTAAGATGATATAACGTGCATATAAAAATAATGTAATTGCTTATGATCTAGAAATATCTTATTTACTAAGAACTGATTTCATTATGTGCGAAAATAAAGCTTGGTGATTTGAATACGGTTTCACCATCTTCGTCTCTTTCGTCTCTTTTTGCCGCTGTGTCGCTACACATCAATATTATTACATGCACATAAAATATATATATATTATAAGGTATTTCTCCCGCCTGTTTAATGTCCCTTCGTGGTGTAATGGTCTGCACGCTTGGCGCGTATTCGAGAGCTCCATGGTTCTATTCCCGGCGAGGGCATTGCTCATTTTTCAAGTCTCCTGCTTCCAAAAAAATGTCTCTACATTGGCGCCCGAACTAAAAACGATGGTGCATGACGATTCTCCACCACCAGGATTTGGCGATTGGATCCCCTAATCCTCAGTAGCCCTTTAAAAAGGGGAATTATATAAGGTATTTCTACCGCCTTTTTAACGTGCCTTCGTGGTGTAGTGGTCTGCATGCTCGACGCGTATTCGAGAGGTCCTTGGTTCGATTTCCGGCGAGGGCATTGCTTATTTTTTAAGTCTCCTGCTTCCAAAAGAAAACTAATTTCTCTACAATACAATATATACATATGTATATATATCAAAACATAATTAACAGGTTTGACGGCATGCCATCTCAATGAAAGATAAACAAAATAAAAATTATCTAGAATACAGATATCTAAGGCGTCAGTCTAAGACAAGTTTCTTGCGGTGCCTTTGTCTTGCGATACTTTTTCTACACAGCTGCAAGTAACCTCGCATCTTCCTTGTGTTATTACCATTTTGAATTTAATACTGCTAGCGCCGTGCTACTTAGGCTGTACTAAAACATCTCAATCAAAATGGTTTTTAATTCTTTGTTTTACTGTAAAAGGATTTCGTTGTCTTGTTATACATTTTCATAAAAATATAAATATCTTTCTGCAATAACCCGTATTAAAGTTATTGTTTTCCATGCAGGTATAACATCATGTTATACCAAAAAAATGTTTTAAATAACTCGACTTTTAATTATAAAAGTACAATCATTAAAGGACTGTGCATCAGGCGAAATAAAATATCTTTGTCTAGCGAAATAATTTTTATTAATACCTTCTAATTTAAATCTAGTTAATTTAAAACTCTCTTAAAACATAATGCGAGGATTTAAAACAAAAACGTTTTGTAAAGCGATTACTATATTTAAATAGATATGTTACGGAAATTCCTTTATTGATTATGTGTGCAGCCAGTACTTACAGTTCTTAAGAGTATTTTCTGGTTTGTGTATTTTTCAGGTGGTAAAAGTTATTGGTGCTACGAATGTGAATCTTGGTCTGATCCAAGATGCAAAGATCCTTTCAACTGGACAGCCTTACCTAGTGAGCTGCCTGCTTTGAAGCAATGCGATGGTTGCTGCGTAAAAATTGTCACTAATTATAAACAACGTAAGTGATCTTTTACGTTACGTAACACGCAGAAAATATGCATTTATGCAGAATATATTAACTTTCAGACAATGAAAGTAAGGCTCAAAATAAGAAATTTAAAGGAAGTATGGACTACGTAGATAACGAGAAAACAGGAACAAGTGTTAAAGGAAAAAATTGTAACATGAAATTTATTCATGAGTTCTGCAACAACGTTTTTCACATCCTAACCGTTAGAAGAGGTGAAAAAATTTCTTTCCTAGGGAAAATAACTTCAGCCTTAACCATAACTGTTAACGTGATAATACCAACTTTCTCAAACAATTTTCCTTAGCAACGTGCAGTTTCATAATTCCGTTGCATGGCGTCCGGTTCCGCGTTCATATGAGAAAACATGTCTCTGGTTCCATTAACCTTGTGGAAAAAAGAAAGATATTACGCAAGAAAATAATGAAATTCATGAAAAGGCCTTTGTTTTGGTGATACAAATTACCATACGGAAATTGCTACGCAATTCAAATCGCAAAAAATTAGAAATTCTTTGCTTAACTATTTAAAAGATACAACCGATCTTCCTAGGAGTAAAAATATGGAAATTTTTAGTATAATTTTAAATTTTGTGGAAAATATTTAAAGTACTGCATTTACTGTATTTGAAGTAGCTGCACTTAAAATGGCTGCATTTACTGTTAAAAATAGGGAAACATATATCCACAGCAGCAAGAATTGCATAAATACCCTGGAATATCCACAGCAGTAAGAATTGCGTAATACCATGGAAAGGCATTCATTAAAAAAATAAACGTAGAATTTAATTTTGAAATCATAATTACAATTCATTTTGAATGCTTAAAGGAAGGTAAGGGCAATTGAGAAGTAATAAATCAAACATCATATTTTTCTCCTACTGAGTGAAAATGATCTATCTACCTGACTGAATATTTCGAAATGTTTAAAAAATTAATTTCACAAAATTAAGGAAACATATTATAAACTTATGTATAAGCCGATAACATCTTAGAGTTTAGAGAGCACCATTGCTTGCAATATCGACTTGCCTATATCGAGTGATCCAAGATAAACAGGGCAGAAAGTAGGTGAAGTCTTCCATGTCCGATTCGGTTTATCTTGGGCACCAGATATGTTCTCCTGTATTCCCTGAATTTTCATGTTACTCTGAAAAAAGGAGTAATAAATTTTTATTTGTTTACATCTTATTGATTTTTCCATTTGCTTTTAAACTGTTTATCTTCTATCCGTATCATTTGTCAATTAAGTCATGAAATACATTTAAATCTAACTGCTAAAATAACTAATAATAAATACGAGGAATTGTCATAGCATGAGAAAACTTACAGGATTGTAGCTTGAAGATCATATAGAATCTTCTTCGGTATGAAAACAATAGCTAATAATTCGAGAGCTTTCTGACTAAATGATAAAACACTAAGCATCTAGTGCCATCTTTCAGAAAAAAAGCAATGGTATTATTCGGTTTCAATGGCCGTAAAAAATCGCCAAACTATTGTATAGTAAGAAAGGAAGTATAATAATAAATAACTATCTCTAAGATTGATGTTTTAATTTAGATGAAAGGTTAATTTCATATAATACTTTTTATTATTATAATTTATATGAAAAAGATTAAACATGACTGAATGGAAGCATAAGAGCAAATAACTATTTCAGATCATTATTATAATTTATACAAAAATTGCTAAACATGACTGAATGGATGCCTGCATCGCTATTTCGCTCCGACTTATCGCTAAAGCATAATTTCATCTCGTTGGTTGATCAAACGTAATTTTCTATAATGAATGATGCCTTTTCTTTGAAAATATTCTCGGTAAAAGTGCAGAATCGCTCACCTATTTGTATGCCGCTTTTTACAAGGGTAAAAACAATTGGATTTTTGTCTCTTTTTTTTTTTTTTTAAGTGAAAATAGGTCGATGTGCATATGAATACCGAGTATGTGCAGTTCTTAAAAACGCGTCAAGCAGTGGATGATTCTGCACTTTACCGAAAATTCTATTGCCGACTTTTCGTCATGGGCAATTCCCAAATTGTTAAATCCATAGCTAAAAAAGAGGGATTTTAAAATTAAACTAGTATTTCAATGGCGACTTAAGAAATATAGAACTATATAAACTTACGCAATCTGAAATCAGCGCGTACGCTAGATTTGGCGCGCTGTTAAATGGGCGCGTTTGCTAGATTTGGCGCTTTCGCGCATACATTTTCGCTGCAATTTTTTTACGGCCCTCAAAACAGAATATTACCAAAGCAATTGAGAAGAGATTGAGAAGCAAGTGATGTTTACTGGTTTCGAAGAAATAGAAATATCTCTTATGTGATGCTTGAATTAAAATATACTGAAAAATAATTAATCACTACCTGGATTTGATGCCTCTTGAAGGTGGGAAACAATGTGAAGAATTATTGCATCTTATGTGTACGCTCTGGAGCTGTATATCGTTAGCATGCCAGACTTATATGAGAAAAATCCGTGACTGGAGTCCAAATCCGTGACCTCTTGGATTTTTCCTCGCTGTAGAAAATCAAATAATTTCTGCACTAAAAACTGAAATTCCATGCTGACTCCAAAAATTTTGTTACTAAATAACATATATAGGACAGCATTAAAATCAGTATCCAGCAAGAGCAATGAATTCTTTCTTCTAGGAAATCATTACAGAACTAATATGTAAATTGCTAATATTATGTTTAGGTATAAGTGTAGGGGGTGCCTATTATTTACCCTGAGTCAGTAGGTAAAAGCCCCTTACACTAGCTATCCAAATTAACAACTCGTTCCTGGGGCCCACGGTGACTCTGCGGTGCCTGGGAGCTACTGTGTTTTTGCAACTAACATCGCAAGCTCTACTGCAGCTGGTGGTGTCATCAGTTGTCCTGTCTGATGTTCGTTCTTTGGCCAGGAGGTGCATTTACACCGCTGCCTGGATTACTTATTAAAATTTACATGCAGGAAATGGCTGAAAAAAATACATTACACTGTTGCTTAGTTAATATGTTAATTTGCTTGGTCTAAGACATTTAACAACATACGAAATGACCACATGTTCATCACATCTGGTTATTCGTTGCTAAGAGATACATAAGCTCAGCCCAATGCGATATATGACTGCTGTATTTCATGTTCTTTGCGATATGCTTATTAATTTCTTACGAAGGAACAAGCACAGTTATTGTATCTGTATTTCATTATTTTGTTTCGCTGTTGCTGGAAAAACGGCTAATTTGTACTGCATAGGTCTTGATTTCTGGCAGCTGTACAGTCAAAAATCTTCGCATATTTATTCCTGAAATACTTATATTTGAGTGCATATCATAGAAATGGGAATCAATCCTCTTTTGAATTTGGTTTTGTTATTTTAAATGACTCTGTTAAAGGATAGGACAAAAGGTAATGTTCAGGGTGACACATTTGTTCACATGCACAGGAATCTGTTGAGGAATTGCTCCTAGTTATTTCTTGGATAGAAGTACGTAGGAAAGGGGCCGTGGTAAACCGCATGATTTGTCTGGTAACATGAATCGGAGAAGAGGGAAGAGGTTGTAAACTCTTCTTCCTGCACTGGCAACGTCCCACCATTAATGCTAAGATTTTTTGGTTGAATTTTGATTTCAGGCTTGAAACAGCCCAGGGAATGCTTATTTTCATGGCGCTTAATCCCTGAGCTGTCTCCTTGGCTAATACATTAGCCTCTTCCTTTCCCTTCTGGCCAACATAGACTTTAATCCAAGTTATAAAGAAAAGTTGGCGTTGGGAATTGGGCGACTTGCTGAGAGTTTCTTGAGCCTAGTGGTGATTTATTACTTGTGTTCGTGATTTCATGCATTGTCAAGAGGCAATCTTTATAGATATATGTCATTGGGAAATGCTGATGTATGCTTTCGTTGGTTGCGTGTAATATCACGAAAATTTACTATTGAAATACGTTATTCTCCAAATCGAGTTGAAATTTGAAGTCTTTGGTGTCATGATCATTGAGACAGACTTTTATATCACATCCTTTTACCGTTGTTTATACGACAACCATTTGTGTATTTCTTTGTGATAAATTTTTGGCATTTGTTCTGTCTAATGCATAGCGTGAATTTATTTCTACTAGCTGGACGTCTTTTATATGGTTGGTTCGGTGACGTGTAGGAGCAGGCAGCTACTATCTCATTTTTAATTTTGTAATCTTTTCTTAACTGAAGAACTGAAGTATTCGCTTATTCCTGCTGGGCACCCAAGAACAGGGGATGCTGCTGATAGGCTGATACGGTTCAGCATTTGAGGTTGTTCTGTAACCTCCAGAATAGTTCAAAAGGAAGTGCCTTTGATGGATTAGATTTCTTTTTGTTTTCTCACCGTCATTCGGGATGCCCATATCGCTGCACCATACAGTGCTGTTCTTTCTATAATAGTGTTATAGATCAGCTTTTTTATCTGGCGGTCCATCCTAAAACCTGCATTATATTCATTTTTTTAGCTTCACTGGATGTTTTCTTCTTAATTTGTATTAGGTGCTCAATGAAATTAGGTTTATTATCTATTACTATTCCCAAATGTCTCAGGTATTTGACTATTTTTATTTTGCTACTGTCAGTGTAGAATTTCGGTAATCTGGTTATTTTTAGAGGACTTAGGAGTGGGATATGATGGCTTGTGAGTTTTCTTGGGATATTTTTAGCTTCCGCTGCTTGCAAAGAAAGTTGAAGTTTTCCAGAGTGGTGTTAACGTTGATCTATAATATTCCATAATAGATGATTCCGCTTTCCAAGAATCGCCCATTGAAATGGAAATCAAAATACACAGGGTGAATCTGAACAGTTGGGAAAAATTTTAGAGGGGTGACAAAAGGCAGCTATGCGAGCAATATTTGTCATAGAATCCATGATGGGAACGCAAGCGGTGAGAAGTTAAAGGGTAGTATTCCACTGTTACGTTTAAAGAATAAGAGGAGATACTTCAGAAAACATTTTCTTAAGAGAACGTGTTCATGGAAATTGCGCAAAAGACCTTCCGCCAGCTGTAAATTCAGGCTTCACGCAACTGTAAATTCAGGCTGCACGATTGTGTTTGCGAAGACATTAGGCATTTCCCGAATATGGCCGGCAACAACGGCAATCATGGCGACTAGATCCATATTGGTTTCAATGGGGCACTCGTAGATTAGGCTTTTCATATGCTCCACAGGAAAGAGTCCAAACACGAGAGATCCGGTGATCTTGGTGGCCAAGCTATGATGCCACTTCGACCACTCCATCATCCTGGAAATTTTGTGGTTCGTATAACCAAAAATCCTCTCAGTTATTCACGGTAGAAAATGTTGTTGGGTGCGAGGACCGACCCTTTTTACACAATTTATTTACAATGCCACCTAGCGGCTCGTCGTTTGCTTTCCAACCGTACATTCTATGATGAATATTGCTCGTATGGCTACCTTCTGTCAGCCCCTAAAGTTTTCCCGTCTTGTTCAGATTCACCCTGTATACGGATGGCTGAAGCACCCTGTATACGGGAGACTTAGGAGCAGGCTGCGACTGTTTTGTTTTGTATCATAATCATCATATTAATACCTGGCAAAGGCAGATAAACAAAAATAACACAGTTTATCAGCGGTAATTTCATCTGCAAACACAATTATAGAAAGGAGCACAATCATAACAGATTCTCTTTGGAGTGTTGCTGCCATATGTGGCCGAAACATTAATAATACATTATAGTTCATTATATAACATGTAAAATTTTAGATACTCCACTTAGCGTACATCCATACATAATTTGGACATATGGGATATAAGGTAATGAATGAGCTGATCAACTTCCAAGCCAACAGTACTAAATGCAACTGCTAGGTAAACTTTGAAAAAATTACTAAATAAACTCATAAGTCAATTGCAGCAAAAATGGACACATGCAGGAACTAGACGACTAACCTATGAACACTTCCCAAAATTCAAATTTAAAAGACTCAACAAATCTTCAAGTATAGCATATTTATTAACTGGAGATGATCCCTTCTTATCAATTCCCTTATTCAATTCTTCTTATCCCTGCATGTCTGCTGTATGTGCTGTATATATTGTTCCACATGTTCCTATTGTATTACAATTTCGTTTTGTGTGTATCACCCTAAATTTTATTGCTCTCCTGTATTTTTATGTACGTTACTAACCAAATGGTGACTTAAATAAGTGTGTACAAGAATTTCAATAGTCAATAAATGTCCGTCTACTTATCAACCCTAGACATGTATCTGGGGTTGCTACGTAGTGGATTATCACAAAATGTCATCTTAGGCTGAAAGTGCAAACAGGTCAGCTGACATTCTTATCGAGTTTAAAAAAAATAATTCTCGAAGGCGATCACTAGTTACAAAGGCTGCATCATCAACAAATACAGTGCACTTTGTTTGATCCTTCCATTAATGCTGTACTCTTTTATTGAATGCTATATTCCACAAATCAGCGCTGAAGCAAGAGCCCTGTTGGCAACCTCTTCGATGGTTCAAATTGTTGGATATTATTATGCTTTATCTGTTGGAAAAGTAGTTCTGGAAAATTTTAAATAGATTTTGCCGGTATTTGATTTATTTAAGTGTGGCTAGTACTTCAGGCCATCGGAATGAGTCGAAGGTCTTTCTGAGGTCTAGACACAGTAGAGCAGAATCTAGGTTCTGAACGTTTTTTTTAGATATTTGGAGTACTGTTTCGTTGATTGCATTTATTGCGCTTCTCTCGGATGTAAATCCGATCTGCAGGTTACTAATACTGTTTTATTTTTCATGTAGTGCATTCACAGGATTATTAGATGTGTATTGACTTTCCTTATTGAACAGAACTATTTGTCTAAGCTTGAAGCAGAAGGGGCAAGTACTATACGTTAGGCATTTGTTTATTAGTACCGGGATTCATCGAACGATTTTTAATAATAGTTTTAATTTCGAAATATGTGAAGGCACCGTCATGTTGTACATAAGGTGGCCGAGCATTTTCTTTTCTCAGTTTTTGCACTGTTGTATCACTTTCTTCCTTTAGGAATACGGCGTCCGTAATTTTTTCCACTACAGTTAATGTAACGTTCTCTGACCCTCAAGTGTGTGAAACCTGTTTGGAGATTATTATTTCTAGGGTTTTGAACACTTTGTTTGCGCATATTTTGTAGACAGGACCATAGGGGTCTTTGTTGTTTGAAACATATTTTTCCAGCAGTTTATTTTTTTTTAAATTTTTTTAAATTTTATTTTTTTTTTATAGACAGCTATCTCTTTGGCGTCAGTTATATATGCTGCTGTTCCGTCTGCTTCCATGTCTGCTTGCTTCATTATTCTGTTGAGAGTTGTGGTTTTACTGCGTTCACATCACTGTGAAGTTGTCCACCAGATTATTTTCTTGATATCATTACGAATTTTAAAAAGGAATTTTCACACTGGGCTTGAATTGTTTTGATAAGTCGTCTATTTGAACTTTGTTGGTGGAAAGTTTCAGCTAATTTACTATTAAAGACACTTTCGAGTGTATTGTAATTTTCAAATCTTCTGATCCTGTTATTTTTAGATTTATATGAAATGAATCTGTGAAATTAATCTGAAATTAATCTGTAATCTCTTCATCCTGCTTGATTGTCCAGTTCATAATCCGATTGGCCAGAACCTTACTTGCAAGCATTAGGTCGAGCTTTCCTTTTCCAGAAATTGTTTCAAATGTCAGGCAGGGGGTAGAAATTGCGTTTATGAATGACAGGTTGTAACTATTAATGAAATCTTCAAATTCTGTTCTCCTTTGATCAGAACAATTGGTTTGATTTGGTTTGGTTTATTTAATTATGACAAAGCACACTAGGGCTCTCTGCCTAAGGGTAGGGATGCCTTTGTGCAGGACTTTCTAAGGGAAACTGGTTCGTATGCACGTTATACATGGGGTAAACCACGAAAACGCCCATGCAACCAGCCCGTTCGCGGGATTCGAACCTAGGACCGAACTACCAGTGTTTAGCGACTTTACCGCTCGGCCGCTGGTGGGCCCTTTGATCAGAACGAAAGTATCTCCATGTTTGGTTAGCGTTAAAATACCCTTTTATGATGTGGAGGGAATTGGGAAATCTGTTAATGATGTTACCTAGTTGATTAAGGTTTAGAGATATTTCTTCTGCTGAAAAAAACCCTAGAAAGAGGTGATGATTTTTCTTTGAGGTGTTCAAGGCTATTGTTACCATATCTTTAGTAATATGCTAATAATATGCATTAAGTTCACGCAAGATCTTTTGTTTGGTATAGTAATGTCAGGTCGAGGGTTCGTAAGGGAATCGTATATCACCTCGGCGACTTACCCCATGCCATGAATATGTATGACTAATCTTCTGATACTCTATGGGATATCCTAAGTCACCACACTACAAGTGTTGTTCTTGTGCGATGTCACTGACTTGTAGTCTGCTCAAAAGCAACTATTTTGTTTCTGCCTTCATTTCTTTCAGTTGTATAAGTAAGTGATGTCAGCGTTGGGAAGTTCCTAACCTCGTTTGTCTATTGATCTTGCGAATATTATCTATTTTTAAATGCTCTTGCAGTAGTAATGCTTTTATTGTGTTAACAGGATAAATCAATTTAGCACTTTTCTCTCTTTGAATTACCTTAAAGTGATAACTGAATGAAAACTGATGTGTGTTAATACTTTAATTCTTTCCCTTTTCAGCTAATGAAAATATTCGGAGGACCTGCACAAAAGATATAGTCATAAATCTCTTTATGGTAGACCACGTATGCATGTATGAAGGCCACAAAACAGGCCACATGTGCTTTTGCGAAGGCGATCACTGCAACGAGGGACCACATTTAAGGCCGCCATCTATGTTAGTTGGCTTCCTCAGCTTCATCTGTTTGTTCTTCGCTCAGAAACTGATGATAGCTCAACTCTGATGATATTCATCAGTGAACTGATATGTACCATGAGGCACACAAAACGACATTTCAAGAAGGAAAGAAAGAGAAAGGAATTGGAATGTCACAGTTCTTTAATGTACAAACTGCATGCGAAAACAAAACCACATCGCATCTATATATCTTTTGCAGCGCGTGGTTCATTATTTTAAATATATTCCCTAGGCCATAATATTTCAAACGCTATACTCATTCGAGTAATGTACTTATACTCTTATGCGTTTTCACATTTTAACACATTTTTTCTTTAAAAATTAAAAATTGTTTGAAAAGTTATCCGTGCATGCAAAAGATATGCGGTTTCAATAAATAAGTATTTTCTCTTATGTATGTTGTTAAGTGTTATTATATAATTTTATTTCCCTAAATAAATGCAGAACTGAATGTAGTATTTCACATATATTTGTAAAAGATCTTTTTTTTAATTAATACAGAAATTAAAAAATATTGATACATTTTCTTGCATTGGAAAAAAAGTATAATTTTCACGTTTTTTAAAGTGTTAGTAAGTTAAAATATTTATCAATCGTCTGATATTTTTGAAAAAAGAATTATAATGGAATTTATGCACTCGTTTGTGCAAAGAAACTCAGTTAAAATACATAAATATAATTTAGCATTCAAAATTCGTTTAAATCAAGGATATATTTTTATAGTATGAAACATGGAAATATGATTTTTCTTTCAGTTCTTCAGTTTTCAATAATTCTGTTTGGGAAATAAAACACGCGGTTTATAATGGCATAAGTATTTTATATAAAACAAGTAACATTTATGCATATATAAAGATTGTTCCCAGAATTTTTTTTTTTTTTTGAAATTCTGATTGCTATTCAAAATACTCTAGTTTATAAAATTTCGGCCTCTATATAAAAGTGTTATGTTGCGTATGACTATTCAAATACTAACTTTAGATAAGCAGATTAAATTCATTTAATCACACACAGTAACCTGGAAATAGGATCCACATTATTATTATTATTATTATTATTATTATTATTATTACATTTACGTGAATAATCAATTAATTATTCTACACATTTCATTTTGCAATTTTTTATTGCAGCAAATAGCTAAAACTCTACTAACCAATGAGACTTCTATTACATCTAGTCTACCTTATATACAAAGTATATTATGCGAATACTATGAACTGATGTTAGTGGCAAAACGAGTATCACGGTTGAGATTTAAGAAACTTAAATGGTGGATTATGTAATATATCAACTTTGCTATGGATCAATTTTTTTATGTAACATGTTTTTGATAATCTATTTCCTTCGGCTTCTTTAATAAAGAGATTTTAGATATCAAGAGTGATAGTAGTCATGCATGTAGTTATAATAAAAATCAGGGCTTTTTTTAGACTTCGAGGGCATTCTTGTTACAATCAGTGTACGTAATGGATGAACTGGTCTTACATAATCTGAATACTAAATGCATGTAAAATGTAACTAAGGCATTTAATCAGAAAAATCGCTTGTTTTATATTTCTTCAGTATTAGGCTTTCTGGAAAAGTTTTTCCTCCTCCAAAATTTAAAATGAATATGTATATACAAGTTTTATAAAATCCAATGAATTTTTTTCAAATCACGTTCTTTCAAAAAGGGGAATATAACTGCTAAAATAGCTCCATCATAACGAGATTTTCCTTTTATTGAGCTCTTAAAATTATAAGAACCAGCAAAGTATGCAATTGAATCAGATATCACATCTTATTGAATAAAAACTTGTAATGAAATAAAAATAATTTACAGAGAAAAGATGCTTCATTAGAGACTATACTACAGCATGAATTCAAGCTTTATGTTATTTTAATACATCATATATTGCCAAGGACACTTCTTATTGAATTTTTATTACGGAACTGACCGTCATGTTGAACAACTGTTTGCAAAAAAAAGAATTGAAAAGGTTGCTACTGAAGTAACAGCAACACTTCTAGAATTTTTTAACTAAATTCTACGATTTTTGTAAAAGCATTTAGAAATTAATTTAAACAGTAATTAGCACCCTCTCCAAAAACTGAGAAACTTAATTAAAAAATAAAAGTGTGTCCAAAGAGAAATTAATGTACAATTTTTTTGTATATAAATTAGTTTTAAATGAGTACTAAAGTAAATTAATCCTGATAGTTCCAATATTATTTTGTTATAGTACCAGTATAAAAAAAAAGAAACATTCATGCACCTTGAGTCAGGACTACATATTTCATTAACTTTAAAATTAAACAATATTCTACATCTAAGGAAAAACATTTCTTATTACAGTAGGTTCCCTGATAACCGCCCTATATGGGACCGGGTTAAGCCAGTTGAGTGAAATACTGGTTAAAGCGAAGAAAAGAATTATTTAATTGATGGAAATGCACTTTTTCATAGTTAATTAAGCATTTATTAAATGTGTTAGTTTATTATAAAATTTTACATACCATTAGTAGAAAAGTTTAAAAAAATTGAGTCTTTTTTTTTTTTTTTTTTTTTTTTTTTTTTTTTCTTCTGAAGTTTGGAAATTCGGCATTTCCGAATTTCGCCATTTTTTTTTAAAGTATCACATCATTGGAGAAAGCTGATGCCTGTTTTTCCACATATCATAAAGCCTTTTATAATAATATAAATAGCTTACTTAATGTTAACCGCTTTCAAAAAATTGATGAAGCTTAAAGTGTTAGCTTCCTCATTAAGAGCTGTCAAAAGCTTTTATCGATACCGTCTCTTTAAATTTTCTATCACACACTAGTCTATGGGTTGTAATAGATTCGCTACTTGTGCTTTCACTGGTTACGTTTTTTTTGACTGAGATGTTCTGTCACAGCTGGAGAAGCTCAGAATGAAACCATTATTTGAACGAGTATTCCTTTTCTCAAAGTTTTATTTAGTATTTAAAATAAATAATTACGGAATGACCAGTTTTTTTTTTCGTACTTAAATTAATTACGACTGGTTGAAACGGAGATCCGGTTAAACCTAAGCCTGTTAAGAGGGAATCTACTGTTTTTTAATAGTTAACCTGAGTAATTTTCTAATGCAGAAAGAGTGCTCGAAAATTTGATCCACGAAATTTGCTAAACCTCTGAGTACTAAAATTAAGTTTTCGGTTTTAAAATGCATAAACTTCGGAAACTTTAGCACTTAATATTAAGTGTAACGTAGTATAAAATAGTATAAAAATGAGGTAGAATATGTACAAAGAAAGTATAAAAAATATTTTCAAATTCACAATTTAAGTTTAATTTAGGAAGCATAAATATGCTTTCGAATTCGAAATTAATAAACTTATGGTTAATGCGAATTAAAAAAACTCCGAGTTTTAAGTGCATTCGTGTATTTCAAAATAATCTGACTTTAAGTAAATAAACATACGCTAAAATGAAAAGACTAGAAAATACTAGATTACGTGTTACTTAAAAGCTGAATTGTGTTCTATTTTAAATACAATATTGGCATATGTTATATTTAACTATATTCTTAAAGACACATTTTTCTTTCAAAATAAGAATTCTCCTCTCTAGTCTAAAGTAAGCACTGATTTATATAGAAAAAATGTTTAAAAATAAAAATTCCAGCCAAACTAAATGATTAGCTCTTTAGAATTATGCTTTTAGTTTAGAATATAACTGTAGAAGACATTTAAAGTTTTTGCTTATATATTTTTCTTGTCTACAGAACATAAAAGTGAGCATTCAAGGAAGGTTTTAAAATTTTAGCATGAATGATAAAAGAACGTATGGTAGTATAGTAGGTATTTTTCAGTTAAATAGAAATAAAAGACTCATTATTTTATTATATAATTCATGTTTAAAGCGGAAGTTTGCTATATGATATATCTCAAATATTTTACTTGTACATAAACATTGTAGAGTAAATTATATTTCTTATTGTAGTGCGCTCTAATTGCATTTAGAATTTTAACATTGTTAACTTTGAAAGTTTTCATTATCGTTCCACATTTAAAATATTAATGTTCATTAATAAATTTATATAACATGCAAATAGGCACAACTTCTCTGAGGCATTATTACTCATTAGGGTTTAAACTAAAAATGTATTTTAATAGAAGGCTACGAAAATATGCATTAATTGATTAAGCAATAAATGCACAATCAATTTAACGCTCTTTAAAATTTACGACTTGATAATAGTTCCTGTAACGTACGCTTCTTCGAGTTTTTAATACCTGTAGTTGTCACAGGGTACAGTTTTAAGCAGTATTTTTATTACTTAAAAACATGGTTGAAAGGAGTCTTTTATTAAAACTATTTGATACAGATTACTGGAAAGAATGTATTAAAGCAAAATAACCTGCATCTACCAATTTTATATACCAATGTATGTTTTGTGTTTATTGATTAGCTATTAAGAAGTAACATTTGTTATCTTGAAGATGTAAACGCCTCATAAAGGATGTATATTCAGAAATAAATATTAACATTACAAGAAAATTAATTAACTACTAAATTTTATTACTTAAACAAATATTTAAATATTTAAAAAATCGGGAATCAAATTTTCAGATATATTCATTCATCGCAACTTATAAATCGATCAATCGTTACTGGTGCTATATTTTTACTTTCTAGCCATCATTTGAATGTTTTGCTTCTTTCAGTTTTTGATCCTTCCTAACAGAATAACTCAGGATCTAAATAAAATCATTTCTCTTGTGAATATTGTCTATAGTTTAGTAGTCAGTACAATTTAATATAAATCTAGAGAATATCAGCCTTACTTTATTATTTTGCAAATGGGTATCTGTGACCATATGAGGTATACAGGATTATCATTTAGATCCATTTAAATGCAATCGTTTAATGTTTATAGAAATGCTCTGGAGTAGCAAAAGCAGGATGTATTAATACGATGGCAGAATGTTCTGTCAATCGAAAACATTTGCAGTATTGTTATATATAAGTTTAAGAAAATGGAATTCTTATCTTCGAAAAATATCGTCTAATATAGCATTTTTGAAGAAAATGGCTCAAAATACAAGTCTGTAATAAACCAAACGTTTCGTTAACATTTTTAGTACTGAAATATAACACAGAAATATTTTAACTATCCTCATCGTATAACAGATTTAAATCACGCACTTTATATTTGTGCTTTTTCCATCTGATTTGGTGGCAACGAACTTAAATGAAATAATCCCACGCCTTGTGGACATCTTTTTCTTTCAAAATACCGCTAGTATAATGAGGTACTAGGAGACTTATTATCTATTGCAAATAAAGAGGATTCTAAATAATTCACAGTTAGTTTATTAAACAGATTAATATATTTAAATTTCTGTTGCCTTCAACTATTTTATTAAATGAAATACCTGCAT